ACTTTTGAGAAGAATCAAAAAGATACTAATAATAAACAGAAAACAAATCACTTGCTTTTTTTTTTCCTCTTTTCCCACTTACTGTTTTGACTTGCGGTGTAATGTTTCCTTTCTTATTTTATTAACACTTATAAAAAAGTGGAGTTTATGTATTGTCAATCACAGTTTTCTTGTGCGCCAGAATGTGTTTCTGCTAAACGACGACTAAACGAACGACAACTTCGCGCCTAAGACCTTTCTTAGGACGTATGGACAAAAGAAAAACTATATGTTTCGTGCCAGTTAAAAGCAGACAAAAATCTAGCAAAGTCGATCAAATATGCTCGTATCTTGAGATACTCACTGGGCTTTTCTGTGCAAAAGCTACGACACAGATTGTTGGCTAACCGCTATTACACTTTGCTCTAATGCTCTTTACATTGAAACAAAAAAAAAACTGCTCCAACAAGAGTTCTTTATAACTTAAGCTTCAACTCCTGTATCTCATACGGTTATGCTGTCGCTTGAGTGCGAAATGGCAGACTGCTAGCAGCGATGCGGACACTCCAACTTGGTTTATGGCCAATGAGCACTATATTCCTATTCTTTCCTTATAGTTGTCGAATTGCTCTAGGCAGACAACAACGTTATCCAATTACGCTTGCTGTATGTTGTCTTTGGGTAAATGCAATCTGTACGATGTTACAGTGGGTTAAATGACGGATTTTCTCACAAAGAAGATAGCTGCATCTCTAAATATAGAAATCATTGAAGTACACAATCTGTACTGAACTAATACGAATGTGATTCCCGACGTAACACTCAAAACGTTGGAATCCGTTTATGACACCTACTCCGGCGTGGAAAAGCCCATCTTTGTAACACATATCCTATATACGTATCTCGTTAAATACATCTAATTATGTTATTTGTATCAATTCTACCCGGGTGTCTTGTGGCGTCATATTCGTCCAATTGTTATGTCAGGTATAGGGCAATAACTTGGCCGACGATGTAACTTTTCACACAACTGCATTGACAGGTCGTTAGTCGCTGAAAATTGAATCTCTGTAGCACCACACCTGCTAACGCTTGTAACGGACTTGTAGCCCACTATTTAACAGTAGGAGCATATAATAATATGTCCTACTCCTGCTGGCTTATTTTTTAAACCTACTACCGCGCTTCGAGAAGTCAATTTAAGTATAACACGTGCTGGTGATTCAACCTATCAGATAAAGTCAAATGTACCTCTGTCTCTCGAGTGTTTTTTGTAGGATGCAGTTAAAAAGGTGCACGTCACATTAACGTCAGCCGCCTCGTACTATTTTATACTACTTTTGTATTGTTTGGCAGAGTCCAGGATATCGCGACAAATTTTCATTTCATATTTTCCAACGTGTCGGAAGACTAAAATAAGCGTATGCGCTTTCATTACGTTTTTATTTTCAGTGTCTTGTTTCAACTACATTTGCATTATATCAATTACCCCCTCTTTTATATATTACACGTGGTAATAAAAGCTTATAGTGAATTTCCTATGTATGCAAACGACAAAAATTATCTTCTTCTGTAGGGTACGTGACGCAGGCGCGAAACGATCGAGTAGCCGGTCGTGAGAGAGCGGTCACGCAGCCACGACCGACGTTCTCTCTGATTTTCTTGCTCTTGCTGGGCTAAAATCATTCTACTAATGCAACTCTGCCTGCCGACCAGTTCGCTCGTTGCTGCTGAAAAGACGCGGCTCCAGAGTGGCGAGAATGGCGCTTCAATCGCCACCGCCGCCAGCGTCAAGGCGATGGAGGCCTAAGGTTGGCTTATTCTGTAGACGCAGTCACGACCTATGCAAGAAAAACCACGAAGATTGTTTCCCATTGCTAAACGAGTGGGTTGGCGCTCTCGACGTGCTTTGGTGACTTCGTAGTTGGGCGGCCCTAATTTTTTATCAGGCCTTGCCCAATTTTGCCTCCACTCTACAGAGAACAGAGCTGGACCGAGTGGCGTTGTTTTTTTCTCTTATATAGATCGCCATCCCATAGAACAAAGTAAGTGTGGAAAGCAGAATGTCATCCAATTTTAGATTACGACATTAAGCTAAAAGAGGAAATAGCAGGAAACCTGTTCCACAAATGCCGTGCCTTAGGATGAACGTGTGTATCAATGAACGATCACGTTTTTTTGCTACGCTATGAGAGCTAAATGTGTCAACGCTACCAAACGTACCGGATTGATTTTGAGTTTAATGGGAAAATTAAATCCAATGATTAACACAAGATCACAAAGTTAATTCTCGAAAGTTGTATTAAGTACTTGTAGATCTCATAAGGGCGTTCAGCTGAATAGCTCGAGACCAAGACATAACGGTTAAAACTTCACAAGTCAAAACTTTGCTGTCGAGGGGCACAATCAGCGAAACAAAATAGTAACGGAACTAACATTATCGCATCTAGACTTGTACTCCTAGATGTTAATGGAGTAAGCCTCATGTCAATTAGGAGAATACTGCGTAAATATTTGTTACTGGCAAATCTCTTAAACGGGCGCAGCACACACACGACACCCAGATGACAAACGTCTAAAGCCCTTTCGATTAAACGACTTTTTCGACATTTTCTGCCAATTCAACGCTCCCCAGTTTCTTGATGTATCTTGGTTTCGAGCTTTCTGTCGAAGCTGTCGCCTGAAGCCATAAGCTGGACTGGCAAAATAAAAAACGGTCAACTCTATTCAAAGCCTTGATAAACTTCTGCGCGTACTGTTTTGGCACCCCAATAGAGACACGAGAAAAAGCTGAAAGAGGCCTGCGCATGTAGAAAAGAAATGTCAGGCCAGCTAAGCCTGCTTGTGTTACTATTTCTGCACTCAACTTAGGCAGGCGAAATTAAGCCGCTAATGTGTATTCTCAAAGTAACATTTACGCTTTGCTTGTCGACGGAATTGCTATTTTTCAAGTCGTAATTTGAAGTGAAACACTACGATAGATACTTGTCTTCAATTATATCGTAAGTCTTTTGGATTATACGTACGTAAGAATAAGCTCACTCCTTTGCTTACTAATTTCCCAATGTACCAACTCCATTTCAATTTTTAACGATAATGTAAACGACAAAAGACGTTGTCGGCGTTGTATTATATAAATATTTATATACGAAGTATGATTTGGTTTTGTGTCTTGAAAAATTGTCGCAAAAACGAGACACAACATTGACCAAAATCTATCTGAGCTATGCTGAAAGATCTTTGTTAATCCGCGATTATTGTTTTTCAGTTCAAAATAAATAACTCATATATATATATTATTTACTCATTAAAGAAAATAATGATCATGGTATGAGCTCAACCAACCTCTCAAAGATGTTTCATTCCTGGAAAAGCGATTTCGAGAGAATCAATTCATCCTCTTTAACTTCGTCAGTGACTTAGAAGCAACTAATTTCCAACTAACCTTTATATAGTAGCTTTTTGGAACTTCTGAACTGGTGGATCATTGTACCGACGCGATCCGCCACACTGGATTTCGCGACTCGAACAAGACGATGCTCAAAAAATTGCGTAAGTTTAAGTATAGGATGAAGGCCACTTTGTGCCAGACTGCGTGCTACGCATATATTCAGAGGTACATTCTCTGCAGCAGCTGTCGAATTCAAATGTATTCCACGCTTCTTTTGCGCGCAAAGTTACTAGAACCAAAAAAAAAACTTTTAAAAGGAGAGAAGGCCTTTCAACAAGTACTATTTTACTATTTTCAATAGTATTGCTGACTTTGTGCGCATTACGTTCTTATTACCGCGATAACAATACAATACTTTCAGCCTATAGAAGTAGATATATCTTACTCATAATTATGAGATGCGCAAGACGGGCTGCAAGACGTCATAAGAAAACGCTCTTTATCTACACAAACTGTGTAGCACTTACGTACCATTAGCCGCAGGCCTTTTCCTTACCGAGGACTACGTCGTCCAGACCACCCTGTCGACGTGTCAGTGTTGTACAATTGACGGCCCAATGCAAGATAAATGTAGTAATGAGCTACTAATTAAAAGAGTATCCTCCATTTAATCATCAACGAATAGAAAGTTCTGCGAATACAGAATGAATATAGAACACTTGATATTTTAATTATTGTTAGTGAATTTAATTACTTTTTCTGCTTTTCGCTATAAAAATAGCAAGAACAATAGTATTAGCATTACTATTGTGTGATAATATGTGACAGAACAGAGCCGCATCTAGCAGTTGTGTGAGCTCGTCGCTAGATAAAAGAGCGTTCGGCTTTCGGTTCCTGTATTTTATCAGGTGATTGTACAATACAAGAAGCTCAATCATCTAGATTTGTCGTTTGGGAGGTTATTTCAGGCGAAGTGGCGGGAACGTGGCCTAGAATAGAGGCGAAATGAGGCGTGTCCCACCTCTTTTTTCGCTTGTTGGGTACCTTTGTATTTGTTGCATACCGTGAGGCATTTATAAATCGCTTTTTCTAAGCCGGACCTGGATAATATGTGGAAGGGAAAAGCCCGCTGCAATAAAATGATAGGCCAATTCGGTGTGTATGCTATAAATACTATATGGACAGAGAATTATACTCATTTTAAGTAACTATCGCAAGCATAATTTGAATAGCTCATCTTTAGCTTTATTACCGCTCCAGAAAATCTACTTGTATTTCTTATAGACTTTGATGAATATAACCTGAAGATACTTTTTAGGCGCTTTTTTTTATACAAAATGTGATTCTCGAAAAATAGCACAAAAAACGTCAAGCATGCGACATAATAATAATTATTATTATTATTACTGTTATTATAAATAAAAAACTATGGGCTCAACTGACTATAGAATTGTTGATTTCACTGATGAGCATATAATACGATAGTCGAGATATAGTTCTAGCTACAAAATGTAAAGTTTAGGTCATTCAAAACCTAAAAAAAATGTATATAAAAAGTAACGAGAACTCTACTCTATCTCTACCGACCAAGCCGTCATCGTCTAAATGTCAGCTGCGCCCGTCGCAACAATTTGTTCTGACTTCAATGCGTCTATGCCATAGTTTTTTCCAGTCGTTAGAACAGTTTTAGAGCTCAATTATGAAAATAGACCTCAGTATGGTTTTCGTTGTTTCTTTTTTTGGAAATGCCAGTAAACCCAAAGCGTTTTCTTCACGTGTTTTCTACTTTAGATGAAAGAAAATCTCGCCATGGGCTAGATCTGGTGAATATGGGGTTTAGGCAACCCAAATATCAAGTCTATCTGTAAAAATATAGGATACAAGAAACAACGCGTCAGTTGGGGCATTACCGAGATGAAAACTTCTTGGTAATACTCTTTAGTAACAGTAACATTATTCGACATGAATTTACAGTGCACAGTATTCTCAATAATCAAAAAAAGGTACTATTTTAACCTAGATTCTGCTTTTCTGTCCGTCTGGGTTCGCCGGACGACTGTGCTTTCGCCTTCCTGTTATATCCGTACACCCACGTACGGTCACCTGTAATGATGCTTTTTTAGAACAAATTTTAGATCGTCCCGGACAAGTTGTTAACTGATATTCATGTGTTGCAAATTTTCACCATATTTTCTGCTGCAGGCCTTCTAGCTTCTAAATGACTTTTTAAAATGGCCTGACATATGTGAAATTTCTGATTCTTATGCGAGTTCCGTGAAAACAACTATGTGGTCATCAAGCATGAATGGTTTTATTTTTCTCACGTTCTGAACCCTACTCGCCGTGACAGGCTACCTAAAATGAGGGTTTTTAAGACCCTCTCATTTGTTAGGGACAGACTGCTATTATTTCTATGAGCTACCCTTCGTCGCAGCCCGGCCCCCTTTCTGCATCATTGAGCGCCTTATTTCGGTCTTAATACAAACATAGGACACGCTCTTTAATAATCTATAATCGCTTTCCAAAATAATGAAACACGGCCGGAAGTCACCTAGTTAGAGATACCAGGCCAGCTTGTAGTACATCAATAAACAGAACATGAAGAGTGCCGCATACTTTCGCAACTGATCCCGATCGGCTGCGATAACCCTATCATCCAGTTGAATGGCACTTAGGTTTATGTAAAACTGGAATACGCGATGTTTTAACCCAAAATCTAGTTTTTGAGTTCGATAGGATAGTATGACTTTCAGTAAGCAGAACGTTACACCAGTCCCGCTGAACAGTCAATTTTTCCGAAGGTATCTGCTTCCGGGATGTCGTAAGCTTAGCCGAAGCCATTTAAAGGAACTCCGGCAGAGCTCAACGACGAGGCCTTTGATAGAATGAAGCATTGTCAGTTTACGTGGAAGCACCAACTGAGCAAGTTTAAACAAGCTGAAGCTTCCAAAATGAGGGGAAGAGTGCTTCGATGAAATTAGCAAACAGCCCAGTACTATTTAATAGATCAACGGTATATTTAACTGAAAACGCCGACTCACTGTAAATAACCTTAGTATTGAGGTTCACATAGCCTCTACGACATCAATAGATGTTTTTACATGCACTCTTAGCCCCACTAAGGCTCAAATTCTGTCTATTGATTTTTTAGTCAAGGTTTATTTTGCTAAAAAGGGCTTCTTTAAATTCGAGCTAGCGAAATACTTTCTAGAAATCCCGGTCAGTATAACTTTGCGAACTTGTGTGCTTGTTATTGGTAGCGAAATCTGAAGCACATTAATTATTCGATAGAGGACTGAAGCCATTTTTTTTTTGACTTAATCAACCTTAATAAAAAACGCCAATAATAATGTAAGTATGCATACGAAGAGTACGTACATATAGGTAACGATATTCATTGATCCCTTCATTCGAAGCTGGTCGGCTGAGGTAAACGGTAGTACTTTTAAATGAAACCTAAGAATCGAGTGGCACATTCGGTAATTATTCGTGAAACTGACCTCAACTATAAAGATATTTATTACCGCACAGAATCTCGGACAGCTGAATCGGACAAGAGCCTCGCTCCTTAATAGAGTCATAAAATTGAACCGAAGAACTCATAACAGGCTTGTCTACCTACTAGCGGGGACGCTACCGTTCGTCGAGGACCTCCTTCGCCACGTCAGCTATTGTTAACTCCAGCTTTCCGAGAAAATTCAGCAAAAGAGAATTAAAAATTTTCAAAGGTTGATCCTGAACTCCACCACGACCGACGAAACCCTTTTAATAGATATGCAGCAAAGCGCTAGGCCCTTGTGGTTTCTGCCACAGCCGACACGGAGAACAACAATTTCATGATTTTGATGAATATTGTATGTACTGGGTGTAAACAAGCTTATCATATGTATAATGCTTTTTGGTGCTAACAAGTTGCTGCTAGTAGGCAGCCTGGCTCGATAACACATCGAAGAATGGCAGTAGCATGGCTTATGATGCAATCACTGGCATGTTTTAAATACTTGAGTGAGTTCCAGTTTAACGACTTCAGGAAGCTTTAGCTTTAGTCCGGCTCATTAAGCCGTTATATGTAATAGTACAGCGTATTATACCCATATATCTTATATATATTATACTCATATCAGTATATCCAATTGTTATCAATGTACGTATATTATGTGATAAAGCCATATATATATATATATATATAGTAAGTTAATCAAGCAGGAATCTGCAAAACGATCCTGCAATTTCTCAAAAAGCTGGTAGTGTCCTGCGCGCCGGTTTTTTTTTTATTCACAGAAGCATTTATTTACGTACTGTCAACAATAAAAGTCTTCCTAGTTGGAAAAGACCACTTTGCGCGTAAGGAAAGATGAAGCTTTTGTTGCACACCATATCACTTTGATATGGTGCACTTCCTCTAAGAGGAAAAGCGCGCAGGTGACCTTTCTAGGTTCGCGATGCTTGCGTACTCTTGATGTTCCCTTCTCGCTTTGCTCCTACTGACCATTTTTGCGAGCTGCAGCAATCGTCATCGTAAAGCTAATGTAGCTCATTAGTACTGCTGCCCGAAAGAAAGCCCGAGCTTTTTCCTACGCTTTGGCGTAAATGAGTCTTGTTTCATGCTTTTCGGAACGTCGCGCTGCACGGATACTGTGGCAAAGCAGTCACGCAGCTACGTCACAATGAGAAATGTCAGTACTAGGACAATGCACGCGCTCTTACCGCTATCATTAGGAGATAGGGCAACTAAGACCCATCCACTACCACAATCGACGTCAATCCTGGACAGGGAGTCTGGGAATGGCAATCTCTGGTCGAGCCGCTACTGCAGTTACAGGGCGGGAATTGTAACTAAGAACCACATCTTTTCCTTCGGTCCACTATGATAACAGAGGCAGGGTGAGGATTTCTAGCATGGCCATCTATAGCTATGCTGTTCTTGTCCTCTAGTGCTGCCGCTGTTACTATTTCTCCACGGCTTTTTATCAGTCGTGCTTTCGTACGGTCTTCCATTCAACATTCGTTCGTTCACCTTTTTGTTGCGTTTTTCTTTGTCTCTTTTCCTCTGAGCGTCCGAATCTCCTTTCGCAAGCGTTTGCAATGTCGTTTCGTCCCGTCTCTATTCGTCTAATGGACATGGTCGACAGTGCTACGAACGATACGAAATAGTGGAGCGACCAATATCTTTTTCTCCCACACCACCCCCAAGCGTAGCCCCACTCTCTGTCGTTGTTTCCACACTTCGCCGAAGTGCTTCCTCTCTGCACTCTCTCCGCACCTAACCATTTTCTACTACCCAGTTGCCCGGACGAGTGGGCTCCCGACTCGATTTAGTCTGTCTGTCTCTCCAACTCGCGGTGCAGCCAGACCAAGGACCCACACGTTTGGCCCGAAGTTACACAATTCCGAGGTGTCGGTTGAAGATCTTCGGTAGTTCATGAGAGTTTCGTTGTCTCTGATTGCCCTCGAGACGGGTAGCGCTGGTGGCAGCGACCGTGACACATCTGCCGCGTGTGTTCAAGTCATTTGAAGAATAAATTATATGCAATTATCCGGTAGAGCAATTTAATTTACTTCTGTTAGTGGGAAAAGTAAACATTTTGCGCAGAGATATGTACGGGCGTGTATCTGCACGCAAGTGCCTGCGTATTTCGAAATGCTATATAGTTGTTTATGTATACGAACGTTGACGTTCTTGTTCATATAGTAATAATATGTTACCCGGCAGTAGAACGAATAACAAATAAATTTCCCCGCGAGCATCGTAGAAATTCGGCAGTCGCACATATTGTTGGCGGAAGTCACTTCGCTCAGGTACAGTTTAACCACGACAAGTGATAAATTTTAGTTCATTCGCGAGCTTTTCTTTTTTTTCTACCTAGCAGAACTCTCTCGGCTTAAATGTCTGTACAAATAACAGCAACCACTGTCACGCACACTTACAATACGCAATTTCTCAGGTTTATGTATATATAATTATATGTATATATATTACATTAAATCTGTATATATGGCGTAGTTGACGCGTTTTGATGTGAAAATCTACCGCATTATTGATAATTTTTGGTAACATTTAAGCTCAAACGAGCTAATTTAAATCTGGAACATCAACCATTATACGTTTTAGCGAAATATCGCAGCCGGTAATAATTTTCTCTATTGTTATTATTGGTCTATTATTGGCCAAGCTGGAAAGCTCAGAATGATCAGTTCTACCTCGCTCAGTTTTAGTTGCACTCACTTAATGCTTACATACACGAATGTATATATATATATATATCAGGCTGGAGCAAACATAATTTCATTGTTTTTAGCTAAAAAAAAAAGTCGCGCATCACCCGAGTTCTAGTTACAAATTAATACATTATCTCGCGACTTTTTCCTATCTTTTAACGGATTTGTTCCTATCGCCAAACATTTCCAGGTCTAGTGCCGAAAAACTCCTCCACACACGTGTTGTAGTGTTTTTGCTGTCCGATGAACGATTGCGAGTTGCATTTGCCAGTGATCGGAGAAGTTCCATGATCTGTGCGAGCGAAGCCTAAAAAATATAGTGAATGGGGTACCATTTAAGCGCTCCTACAAGGTAATCTTTATAGTCGTTGCCAGGAAAGGTCATAAAAAAAAAGCATGACTCTGTTCCTTCTGTCGAGTCTTTTCCGTTCGATAATCCTGTTAAATCGATACGATGAGGCCACGTACCGAGTCCTGTTGACCATCTTGTTCATTTCAAACGTTTCTCTAACTAAGCCATCTCCTTTCAGGATAAAGGTTCAGTTTTACTCTGACCTTAGGTGTATCTATTAGGACTATCCATTTTTTTTTCCACTTCGCTTTATGTCGACGTAGAGACATCACTTTGTGTTACTATGCTGTCATTGTGGTTGCATGTTCTTTGATGTTATGCGTTGTCTCCTTCTGCGCTTTATCCAGTATATGAGACATCCAAGCTTCTAAATTCTTATAAAATTATATAAAAAATGCCTAATAACAGTCTGCTGTGCAGTTTTTCATGAATTTTTTTGCTACTCAGAATCCTCATTGACTTCGTATAGCGAACTAAGTTGGGGTGCATTCTCCAAGTCTGATGTTTCACTTTTGAACTTCGCAAATCTGTTTTAGCAGTTCTTTCAGTTATAGTTTTCGTCGCACAGCGTACAAATATCCCATACTGCTATATCAATCTTTGACCTCTGTAAAAGGCGAAGAGGAGTAGAACCTTCATTTTTGGAGCCTAAACCTGACATAAAATCCCGTTCATTGTACAACGAAATTACGACGGGCTTACAGGGAGTGCACTTTCAAACGATATATAAACGTACACAACGGAATGGTAACAAGGGAAAGGAGCATTAGAAACAAACTTAAATTATTAGTATTCGAACACAATATTTTTAGTTTAAAGTCCGGACGCACCGTTAGGCAGTAACGCATCGTAACTCTTACTCAAATATTCCATTAGGGCCAGACTGGCCCGTGAACTCTTGCCCCTATTTACTTAATCTTGTTTCCAGAATCTGTCGTTAATCAGATCCCCTTCCAAATTCCTTAAATTTACTTTTTATTTAAATTAAAAATGATTTTCCAGTGATTCTTTTTAGAGGCTTCAGTACTGATAATGTCATTGATCTGCCTAAAGATATTAGCGAACAACATTTAGTAGCAGTGTACAAAAGCAAGTAAATTCTCAGGCTGACACTGTGTGTGTCTTAAGTGAGTGGCCGCTCTATGGTGGCACTACACCCTACAATTTGCTACCGCACGCGTGTGTCTCCGTAACAGCTTAGTGGGGAATCTGTTTACCCGCTAATCTTAAAGACATACCCTAGAATAGAGCATGTCTTTTTTTTTATAGTATTCCATTTAGAATAAATTCAAATCCCGACGTACACAGTTTGTGTCGTGCACGCAGTCAGCTTTTTGATGGAATTCCTAGCGGCGGGGGCCAACGCGCGAAAGATTTAGCACAGCCGCAGGAATGATATTACAGTCTCGCTGGGATATTGAAGAACAAGTCGAACTTCAAAATGAAGTATTACATTTGCATTTATTAATAGCTTAATAAAACAAAACTAATTTCTTCTGTTGGTAAGTAAGTAAGAGAACTATTCGTTACAGGCTCGTTATTCGACTGGTTCATCAGATGTTTGCGTGATAGTTTAGTAAGTGAAGTATCTCTCTGCTGATCTTACGGACACGTTGTCCTCTAGATTCGAACTTGGGCATACATAGACTTCCTCACGCGCTACGAACCAGCCAGCCAGCCAGCCAGCCATTTGATGGAATTACGCCTAACGACGATCTCGGATGTAAAACCCGAAACATAGAGGTTAGCCGTACGAATCGTTCTACGTTGATTAGTAAGGCTCCTTGCGTTCTGTCAATCACCGTACTCACCCGCGATCAGCACTTACCGCCCCCTCTCCTAAAGTGTCCCACAATGGATTATAAAGTTTTCATTTAGTTTTTACCCTTGAAAGACAATTTATTGAATATGAACCGTGCTCACTTTGTGATACAGAACGGTGTCTGCTCAAACAGCGAAATAGTTCAAGTAACGTTTGTTCGCTTATCTGAGATCTGAGGTAATTTTTTTCTTTATAAGTGAGGTCTTATTGTGATTTGCGCAACCGTATCGTCCATGACGAAAGTTAACAGTTTGCTATCAGCTATCACGTTGTGACCGGTTAATTAACTAGGCTACGAAGTCAAGGTGAATAATTGGATAGTAGTCGGTTCGGGAATATCAATTATACTAGCTGACCGAAAGTCAAATAGCGATTAAATAGTGGAATAACGTTTCCGTTTCGTAACACTATCGTATCATCTGGTGCTCTCTCAAAGTTCTGCTCGTTCAGACAACACTGAGGGGCTGAGAAATTTGTAAACAAGGCGTTTAACAACACCATTCACCTCGGGATTACAAAATCCTGAGAGAAAGACCTTTTTTTTTGTCACTGGGGGGTCCTAGATCTTTGTAGGGGCAAAAGCACCTCAATGTTTATTCAATTCTAAAGACAATATAAAAACTATGCTTGACTTTTTGAAACCGTCCATGCTTACCTTGATACCATATTTTATAATCCTCGCCTTATTCACCACTTTTGTAAACTATAGCGAATTCAAGTGATATTAAAAGTCAGACTTTAACGTGGATACGTCGGCCTTTCGACGCGTTGCCCCGAATAGTGCCAAGGAGCAAACTTTACCCTTGAAAAAAGTCATTTCGGCTATTTCATAATTAATTACCTTCAATATAATGTAGGCAATTAAACATTTTCGATATATCGCAATCTGCCTATGGATGGGGAGTAGGCTTTGTGCCATTGATGAGAACAAGATTCGTGCGCGGCGTTCTTTCGGATGTTCTGCGTATCGCTTTCCGATCAGCAGCCGAGCATCAATATATTTTTATGCATTAAGTGCGGTCCGCACGCTCGTCTGTTTTTTTTCCGATTATTCAGAACAGACCGAGCAATGTATGTGGGAAGAAGAGAGGAGGGAAGATACAGCGGACGAAGTAATGGCGCTAAAGGATGTACTTGCTATCTCATCACAGATCCACAGGTCGATCCAACAATGTTGTTGTTGTTGTTGTTGTTGTTGGCGACAACCCCGTTGCCGATTTTTAGGATGTTGTTGTTTTTCCGATGCCTGCTGCTAATACAGAATGAGGAACCTGGATGCGGCGAGAATGTGCACTTCTAGGATAGTGATACTGCGCATATCGAAAGCTCGCTGAAGCAAAAATCAGGTGAAAGCACCATAAAAAAGAACATGACGCCCGTAAAAGCACTTACACAGTCAAGCACTCTCTCTTTGAAGAAAAAAAGAATTAACTTATCATCTTGTCATAGATACTTTTTTCGTTCTGGATGCACGTCGTATGCAGGCCAAGAAAAGCAACATCTACTTTTTTCACGTAGCATCACCGTGAGAAAAGCAGAACATTGTTTACTGCAAAATGTTCGGCTATCTAATTGAACCTGAATGACTTTAGCGTTCCAAAATCGACCAGCAAATAATATATAAATAAATTATGCATGTCACCTGATAAATAAAGGCCTAGTACTTCATTTGATAATATTTGCCCACCAACCCATTTGAACGGCCGCTACATAAGTAAACAAGCTCCAGTATTGGAAAGGACACAAATACGGATTGTGGCGTTTATGATTAAATTCCTTGTAACATTTGCGATAAGAAATTTAAATACGACTAAAATCTTAAATGACATGCTGTATTCAATACGGTTCGTGTAAAATGCTAGATTTCACGAGGACTTTGCCCAGCATTGCTTTAACCCTTTCAGTTTTCTCTCCCTTTCTCACGCCTCTATACACTGAATAATAATAATGTTGTTTGCGTTATTTACTTTCTCTCGGTAATTGGTATTAAGCTTTCTTTCGTCTTCTACAACATGCTTCTAGTCTTTCGAGCAATGGGCAAAGGCGTCGGCTTCTAGTAATATAGAAAATATGTAGATTGTGCGATATTTCTTTTTCTACTACATGTCACTGAAGAGACACATGAACTGAGCTCTTGCTGAATACCATTGCAGTGAGTCAGTCGATTCACAAGCGTTATTATTTTAATATCGTCTATTTGCCACGGAATCATTGTTTTATTATTATTATGCAGTTAACAAAGGACAACGAATCAAGACTTGATCAAAATCTGGTTTGTGCTCAAGACTGGCTGTGCCCTTTCGTCCTGTAAGTTTTGAGAATAGGCAACCGAGTCTTTATTTTTCTTTTAAAAAACAGACGTACGTGATTGATATTTTGACGTGTGCTGATTGCGCATTGATTCTACAATTACATTTTATATTTAGGTGACATTAGACGGGTACACCTTACGAAATTTTGCAGTAACTTATGGTACACGAATTTAGCATGGTACACAGTTATGAAAAACGGGTTAATTTTTTCAAGCCAATGAATAAAGCTGCGGTCAACACGTGTTTTGTTTAATGCCGTCGTCTAGTAAGGCGCTTTTCTGGGCATATTTAGCCTCTATTTAACATATATATTTGACAGTTTATGCTACACAGGTCTGACACCAACACTGTGGCTCAAACACTATAATATAAATACTTTAATATAATACCGACTTTTGCTGCTACGTATTGACGCAGTAAAGGTTACCCATAAATCGATACGTATGAAGCTGTTGCTCTTGTTGACTCTAGTTAATTTAGGGTTGCAGTCCCGTTATATAGCGTTGCTAGAATGAACCCCGCTATCGAAACCTGCGATTTCGTTTAAAAGATAACAGAAACCAATAAAACCGAAACGATACCTTGATATGATAATAAAGTCATTCAAGGTCTACGGGGTCGTAACATTGGGTTACCTTTCCGAATGAATATAGGAGTGACCCTTTCTGATTTTTGTTTTCTTTCGCCGTTTCTCCCCATTACGTGTCAAGCAGACCAAAAAGCGTGACCTCATAAACCACCACTGCCACCCACGCCGTAACCACCGTCAGTGCAAGATTGCAAAATAAAGGGGCGATCTGTGCCGAAGCAGCTTCCGATCGCACAAGCACCCTCTAGCTCTCTCTCTCGCTCTGTCTTGCTTCCATTGCCCTTACCCCTCCTCCATTCATCCCCTTCAGGTCAACATCCATTCGGCTGGAATGCTAACTAAAGCGACAATGGTATATTGTCCCGCAATCGAATGGAAACCAATAAAACAAAGTCGCCCTCTGACGTCTGGTCCCACTCGGGCCTTACTAGCTTCACCCGTAACCAAGTGCCTAATACCCGTATCTCCGACAGCCCCCAGATGATTCTGGATGATAGCAATACCTCTTCTTTGTTCCATAATAGCTAAAGCGGACGTTTCAAATTTCATCTTGTTGGCTTTTTTCTTTCCTTAACTTCGTCCCTTTCGCCGTCTGCTTACCCAAACATAGTCATTTGCTCCCTAACTCCGTTTCCGCGACCTAGTCACTTCACATTTCTTACTCTAACGTAACCTCACCATCGTTTCGCGCAGCTGATCAAACCCCTTTCCATCTCTCCCGTCCCTGGGTGTTCGAGAGAGGAGCCTTGTCAGCCGTGGCACGCTCAGCTAGTTGAAGATAACAAAGCAGGTCACGTATTGCGTTGGTCATGAATGCCAAATGTTGCGGAATAAATACGTTGTTGAAAATAAATAAACATATGAACTCGAAGTCTATACACACTGAATGGACCCCGGCCACATATGTTGCATGGGTCGCGTGGTAAACCTGATAATAGACGCCAGCGTAAAGTGCGCTAGAGAGGTCCAGTTGAAGGTAAAAAGGTAAAACGTAGGCGACGAAAGAACAACGCCACGTCTGAAGAGGTGAAACCAGCATGCTGCAACACATGAAGGGCGGCTGTCAATACCCGTCCGATGAGCTTATGCGAATGGTATCGCCTGGAATAATTAAAATGCTGAAATTAAGGTCTGAATGTAGAGATTTGAAATATCTAAGTCGTAGGGGGATACGAGGCGAGGTCTACGTCGGTATATAGTTTAAGTTAATAACGTGTGATTGCAAATTTCCACGTATCGTTTATTGTTATAGAAGATGTCTGCATTGCGTTGATGCGTGATTGTGATGCCATCTCGTCTCTAACCGTTTCTTTGTCCAGTTTTAAAACAGACCGCGGAAATTTGATTTAGAGAACTGCGATTGGTAAACAATTCATTAATAACAAATCGACAAACGATTTGCACTAATTACTGATGGAACATTGTTTAGTATTTTCGAGCGTACCACATCAATACCTGGTCAGGGCATCTTTCGTTCACGCATTTTCCCTTTTTATCGATATAATGAAGTTCCGTCGAAATACTCCGAAGTAGAGGTTCACTTACCTGTGTCTACATTGCTTGCCTGTAAAAATCAGCTCCTGTCATTATTATAATATCGACCGTAGTACACCACTAAACCCGCCGGCAGTTGTCGATTATATTATGCTAATTTTTTGCCGGAGGGTAACGACCATGGCGCTTCTAGTGCCGTCAAAGTTCTTCCCTAAGCACAACTAACGCCTAAGCTTTAATCTTTAACCTGCCACCGTACTCTCAGCGCAGTACACCCCTGCAGCGATCAGTGTACAGTGTCGCCACCGCCACAGTAGCACAAAGTTCACGCCAAAATTTCGTAGGGCGAAACAAATCGTCGCCTCTCTCTTCCAGCCGGCGTCAACTTCAATTTTAAACACTGATCCACACACGGGTTGGCTAGCATGCTTCTTAGCTGGCTTTTCGTTGCCACGTCGCTTCGGTCAGATTTCTTGTCATGTCCCTTTTTCCCGCTTTCTCTTGTGCACGATGTTTCTCCTAGCTGAGTAGCCCGCTTGAGGCATGGGTTTTCGCATTGGGGTTTTCCGACGGTGCTTCCCTATTTTGCCGACTCTGAAGGTGCTATAGTCATAGCGGAAAGCCTGACTGGAAAGTACATTAAAATAATTCACCGACACACGGGGCAACTCTGATAGCAGAACCTTACGTCATATTCGATTACCGTCAGCCCCACTTGGAGGCGATAACAGCCCTGGAGACCCGGGCGAATGCGGGAGCATGAAAAAGTTCAGGAAGCATTCGTAAGTAAACTATAGCAATGTCGTTATAATCGAACAATTTCAACCCAACCTAATGGAGTTGGACGCGTCCAGATGTGTTGAAATGTTCAATGAGTAACCCGACACTAAATCTTCGAAAACAAAAAAGCCATTAAATTTGATCGAAATAAGATCAATCACCTATCTTTAAATAGTGAAAAAATATTTCTAATTTGCGGCTAATTCGCGAACGTTATTCTTACATAGCTTTTGGTTTCGGCCTCTGGGTTCGCTAGAGATTCACAGATATGATTACCTCAAATACTAAGAGCCCAGCGGCACAGAGTATACAAATGCACCTACCCTGTACCCATCAAACTCACTCTGAAACATTCAATTATTACTATCAAGGATTTTTATTTCTAGACGATAATCTTAGTCAGTTCCTGGGGTTCACTTATCTGAACAAAACACATCATCGATGACTTTTATTTTTTGTCAATCCTTTGTTTTGAAACTAGTAGCCAATGTAGCAATTAATCCGTCTGATAGCGTTACCGCTTGCATTCGCTATTACAATACGAAGAAGTATTGACGATGTTTTGCGTCATCTTTGATAGATAAATAATGGATTGGGAAATCTCGGGCCTTTGCTGTTTGAGATTGTCTTAGCATGCTTTGAATCCTCATAACTTTTTGTGAAGTCTATTAAAATTGACATATACATATTCCATATACTACCTACATTGCCAAGAATCCTTGACCTGTACCACACAACGTAGCTACTAGTTTGTTAGGATGAATAGACGGAGTTATTATGTTCTAATGAAATAATCGTCGACGGTTTTATTTTTATTTCTAGCATAATCATGTAAATTTCAGAGATATATATCTCTGAAATATATATATATATATATATATATATATATATATATATATATATATACATATATATATATATATAAATATGTACACAAAAGTTACAAAGTACACACAATATAAATATCGTTAATAATAGTAATATTCACGACAATATATGTACATATACAAACTAACGACAATCATATCAGTTGCGCTGGCAAGGGTAATGACAATTGTTATTTTTGTATATCATCATGTTATCATGTAATTTCTTTTAGAAGATAATTAGAAATTAATGATGCTCTATGTACTATCATCAACCAAATGGCAACTAAGTAAAATTCGCAACCTCCCAAAGTGCCATCCGTTTAATAAAACAACTAGTTAACCCAATCAATTATACTCTACTAAAATTAAGTCAGGAAACACCAACCATTTATAATACGTAGTCCGCCAGTAATGCCCACAGTTTTTCAGAATCACTGCTCGGACAGTGACGTAAACTTACCGCTGGCCATCTTCCCTCTCTTCTGCTAACCGCTTTGCTCGAAGTTCAGCTTTACACGAACATATACAAGCGAATTCATTGGTTTGACGTATGCTATGAATTACAAAGGTACATTTTTACGATGACTTTAAGGATATTGGATTAGTGTTTGCCCCCGGTGGATAGTCACGACTCGACATGTTAGTATTTTCTATGTGTGCACAATGAATATCACTCAAGCACATCTGCTCTTACCAGCACTATTATCCGCGAGTACTCAAGTTTACATTACAAGACAAGCGGCTGCGCGAATCCAGCGTATTTGTATGTCTCACGTCAATTTTAGCCGAGAAGAAATTGTGCGTAGTAGCCAAATAACGAAAACGTTCTGTGTAAAGCGTGAAAGCAATTATGCAGCCTTGTCTCCTGTATGAATATTCTACAAGACATGGAAATGGATATAGCATTAAAGTTCTAGAAAAGTACATTTTGACTGATCAATAGATATTTCTCCCAAGCAAAACAATGACTACTCCGTATTTATACAAATAAATATAATAGTAAAATATTTAGGAATGATATTAGAGCAAAATCTAGCCAATGTAATTCACGTCATGTAATCAATGTTACCATCGCTATTATAACCACGTGCGACCATATGTGAATATGTAGACGTAGATATTTATTGTGTTGAAATCGTATATAGAGAGATGTAACTTTTTGTATGCTATATAATGTACGTTATTGGACGTTGTATGCATTGTTATGTATGAATGTGCGTGTATTATATATGTATGTATGTATGTAGATGCATTTATTTCTCCGGATGTCTATATATGCATGTACACTGATAAACTATCTATGACATGATGAGGATCCTTTCGATAGTTTTGAATAACTCGTTGAGTAATATTTTTCTCCGTATATAATGCGCACAAATCGCTTATCTCAATTCTAATGTATGTGCAGTATAGTAGAACAGCAGTACTAGATACCTATATCATTGTTTCAAGTCATGATCTAGTATTAGACGAAAGGTTCTGTGTATTCTGCATAGCTTACAATTTTAGAATTGTTAGTAAATATTATCATTTTTGTTTTGTATGTAGAAGAGCTATTTGTAGAATACTTCTTCCACGTTGAGCAATCTGTATATCCAAAAATGTTATAATTCTGTGTTGGCTAAATAGGTTTTCTATGATTTTTTTTTTTGGTTAAGATAGCCTCCCCTGCTTTTATAGTAGTCTGTTTGGTTAACCCGGGACCTGATGAAGACAACAGTCCATCTCATCGAAAATCGCTGAGAATTTACTTTTCGTCCAATCCGTCTGTATATGAAGGCTAAAGACCAACATCATGCTATTTCTTGAAGTTTCTGATTTGTAAAAGTTTAATCACAAACGTAACAGCAAAAGCTTCGAGATACAGTTAACTGGAGCTTAGAGTAAAAAAAAAAGTGTCTCAATCGACGCATTACTCTGCCTTTAACTGCGTTGCCAAACGACACGCGGATGAGCTAATCAACGCAATCCATGGCAGCTGTATTGGGCGGTCGTGTAAAGGCTTCCCCTCATAGATGCATCATTTCAAAGTTTTAAGCGCATTTAGACCTCTTCTCCTGTGTACGCCAGAAAGTTGCCGTTTCAACAATGTTAACAGGGCAAGTCATCGAATATCAATCAAGTTCCACATTAGAATAGGTAACGAATTGTTTTCGTTCACAACAAGGTGGACTTCTGTGTTATCCTGATAATAATCTTCTCTATGGCCGAACCCCTCTATGGACGGATGCACTCCTCCGTCTGACAGTCTCCTATCTAGCACAACCTCGTCGTTCCTCAACTAGAAAACTGGCGAAAAAATTAAGTTCTGACAATTTGAGTTGCATTATCCGTTTCGCCCTAAAATTATTGTCCCCTAATAATAGTTCGCGGGGAGATTATTCAGAGATCTAATACACTAGGGTGTGTTCAGCAAGAAGCGCTAGCTGTTGCAAAAAAGAAAAAATCAAAATCCGATATATATATATATATATATATATATCTTATTAATAAATAGCGTAGAGAAAATTAACCGTAGACACACCCTGTTACACGGTTTGTTAGTACTGACACAATCTTTTGAATATTGCATGCGCGCATTTCATCGCCAATTGACTCTAACCATTTTGTTCTTTCAATGTGCCACTACTTTTTCAAGCCTTTGTTCCTCTCTACGCTCTAAATATTATTGCTGTTGGTAAATACGAAATGAAAATGAAGCTGATGTCAGGTTAGTGGGAAAGCACTAGGTAAAAGTTACTTCCGACTATATCTACCCCTCTACAGTTTTTGTCACTGCTGCAAAAACGCATTGCATTATTCTTGGTGACTCGATAAACTAGCTTGTATTTTGACGATTATTGTAAACCCTTAAATACACGATTGGCAGCGTTTATTGACAATAGTGGAGGAAATCTTTCGAAAAGGGTTATCAAAACACCAGATTAAACATGTAGAGTAATGAGCTTAACTGTGGAAAGACCATCGAACCTAATTTTCAACAATTGTTGTATTCCACTCAAGACTGGTTGCTGTTATCGATAGCATTATCGTAATAATTTAATGGCTCGCTCTTCCTCAAGGAATGCTCAACCGATGTCAGCGCTAACACTACAGATTGTCTGCGGCCCTTCGACATCGAGGCAGTCTTAGAAAAATCCTGACAATCTCCCATTGAATTTGGCCATTAACTAATTTGCTGTTGGAGACTGCACGTCATCGATCGAATAGGCATGAACCAATGTATAAATGGGCACCTCACGCGTCATGCATGGCTATTCGCCGACTGCTGTTTTTTTAAAAAGTTACCGAAAGCTGAAATACCGGCAAATTTGTTTACGGATGCCGAAAACGACCAATGAATCTATTAACACCCTAAACACGTGACCTTTTTTAAATGTCAATCAGGGTTATCGGATAGCAGAAAAAAGTCGAGCCCACACTCGACGTTCACAATTGTAAGTGCTATACATTAAACGACGAGAAACTCGTAATATCGCGTCAACCAATAACGTATCTACCCGGCGATAACTTAACAAATCATCATCTCCCTCTACGTAAAATCGTCTCGATGGCGCACAACATCACATTTCTCATTCGACCTTCTTTTTGACGCACATGCTGTAGAACTGTATTATTATTATCAACGTGGTTGTGAATATATATAATTAGTCGTGGGAATATTATTTTTGTACGTCACTTGGATGAGTTACCTAGTGAGCAATAGGAGTTGGTACGTGGCGCGCAGACATTCGGGTCGCTGCAAGAAGACACCCACCGCGCGTAATGCTTGCTTTAATAAAAGCGTACACTACAGCCGACGCAACGCATAGCTCTAACACTTTGGAGTTTCCTGTCTTTGATTTATCCTTCTACCGCCTTCTATGAAATATTAAATTTCACAAAGTGCGAGACGTTTTGACAACGGTAAAGTAAAGCGAATATAAGAATGCGTATAGACTCAATACGGGGTTATCCGATTGTGTGGCCCGAGTGCGAGGCATACCGCCATACCGTACATAGCACCATTTACCGATTTTGTTACACATTCCATACTATAATACAACAAAGCAGAACGAATGTTGAGTTTTATGTTTTACGTACAACGATGTATGAATAGATTACGATCATTTACACCAGGGCTTTCTATAGCCTCCGCAGTTGTCTGTACGTGCAAATCTAGACGTACTTATGTATGTTTTGTAAATTAAATGGGGCGAATATAATATACCTACTTATAAACATCAGCGTTAAAGAGGACCGGGATACTTTTCCCCGTCCTTCCATGACACAGAACAGCGGTCAGACGTAAGTAGGCCTTTGAGTGGTAATATATATCACTGGCAATGGAAAGTGGGCTTTTTGGTGCAAAGAACCTCGAAAGCTTTTTGCACTCGAATCGGCTTTCTTCCTCTGAGTACACTGCCTTCGTGTATTATTTTCGTCCGGCTGTAATACCTAGAAGATTCCTATTTACATGAGGACATTTTGTCTGGACGTTTGCGTATACCATTCTTGTTATTAATATTGCACTCATGGATCTAGTAGCGTAACTATTAAGGTAACTATTTAATTGACCGACCAAACAAAGCGTTCTAAATATTGCCGCCACGGTTGACCAGTCTCTAAACAATTGCCGTCTATTTGTCGGTTCTCTAGAAGTAATGCTTCCATGTTAGAGTTAACCTTCGGGAGTTTCTGTAGGAGCCCACAAATGTGCGTACACGGGAAAGCGTATTTGTCGCGAGTGAATGATATAAGTCACGCCCAATGCAAACACGTCCGCATAAAATGAGATACCGCGGTGTTGCGTTTTTCACCAATAACATCCTACATATCGGTTATGATTGTGGGCGAAGAAACTCGTAGAGCAAAGCAGAAGCATTGTGAAAAAGCCTGATCACGTAAACCATACTCACAGACGGGTTTACTTTATCGTTGTCCATCTTCTGCAGTCCCCTCCTCCTCCTTGTGGCGCTTTGTTTTATTTGAGCTTTCGTCTGAGTGATTTCTGGAACTTTGTCTTCGCGCCACTAGCTCTTTACCCCTTACATTTTTTTGCCGTTTTGTGTCCGCGGATGTTTTAACTGTTTTTCTGCTATCGTCCGAGTCATCGCTTGAAGTGAGTCTTTCTTTTAAGGTGCCTGCTGGATAATAGGCTCCTGAAAAGTTCGTAGATTCGATAGAGCTGGTAGAAACACATAGATCGTATTGAATTTAGATGAGCACTCAAGGAAAAACTGGAATAGCTCTCTATATTTCTCATTAGTAAATTGTAAGAAGTTTGTAGAATGAGAATTCATAAAATTCCCTATAATGATACTACGTTGTGCCTATAAGTTATCAAGTTAAAAAGAGTAATATATCAATAGCCAAAAGCAGACTTTCGCGATAGCTTCAATTAGAAGCGTCAGTGAAAAGTTAAGAATTGTATCATCATTGTAATAAATAAGCCAAATCAGCGTACCGTTGACTTACACCGTTGACAGCTTACCAATAATGCTTTTCCGCCTTCCTCGAGTGACCGGATCACTATTGTCGTCGTCTTCAGTACTCGTACTTTCATCAGCTGAGGTCAATTCAGCCGGGTCTGCTAGGGTAGTGGGCTCATTGGGTCCTTCAGCCGGAATTGTATCTGCTTCGGATGAATCTGAATCAGTCGAGTTGCACAGGTCGATAAGCACTGGCGTTCGCTCGCGATAAGGTTTAATCACCTAGAGACAAAACATTAGGATGAAGTCAGGAGAGCACTGTTTAAAACAACTGCTGAGTAACTGCACGTGCATTTAGTGTAACGTTTTCTTCTATAGCTTCTTTAGGTTAGGTGAAGCGAATATTCAGGCATAAATACACGTACCTTGACGATCTGGCAGTCATCGTCATCATCGGATGTTTCGTCAGATGATGAAACAATAACTAATGCGCCTCTCTGGCCTCCAGATGTGCTTGCCGAATTCAGTTGGGTTCCCGATGTTGACGGTTGCGGAGAACCCTAAAAAAAGATGTCACAAGAACGGTCACTTGAGCGTATTGAGATTTTCATTAAAAAACAAGAAAGCCAATACCTCTAGCCGCTCCTGTTTTGAGATATTTTACAATTTCGATTCTTACTATGTTAATAAATTTTATATCAACATACCTTGAATAATACTTATTATTAGTTATGCCAGAGATGATTTCACAAGTCCGAAAAATATTAGAACTTAGATTTAACAAGCTCAGGGACCATAGGTCAGACTTTAAAAGAGGATCAAGTTTTTTTTTTACTTAAATGCTTTCTAACGGTGAATTAAATGCTCGAGCGTGTTGGCTGTTCAAATGTTTCGTGCTACCAACAAACTCTACTAAATTTGTCTGAGAATAATTACTATACCGTCGTCGGTGGGGGTAGCCTGCTTGGCCCGGGCTGAGGAGACCAGGGCCGAAAGGCCGACTGCCCTACGGCTCCTGGTTCTGCGCCTAAACGGGGTACTGCTCCTTGACCAACACCACGTTCGATTCGCTCTCTAGTGTCACGCTCAAAAGCGCGCCGCAGTCTCTCTACAGCTTCCTGATACGACAACGGTGGCCGATACTCATACTCCACGTTTCTGAAGAATGAACCTTCACTTACTGTTCTGTGAGCATTTACAGCTTAAGCAGCACTACATTTTGTCGTCGCACAAAAACCTTTGCGGGCGTTGGAAATTAACAGAAACTATCATCAGCCTGTTGTTACCCACCTGTCATACATGACCATGTCGTGTGTAGATGAAGCAAAACAGTAGAATTCATGTTGGAAGTGTGAGGTATATGGTCCTAGATAGTGGTCCAGCATCTGTTTACCAACATTTATTCGAACAAAATATGTTCATTTAGCTGTTATTGTGATGTTGCAAGTTGTATAAATTATTGCCAGTAGCTTTTATTATCTAATATTATTTTAATCGTTCTGCCGTGTTCAGATAGCTGACTCAATTCGATATATTAACTTAAGTAACTGAATTCCTGCTAAACTATGCAAATATTGTACGGATGTACAGAGATCGTCATTTAGGACGGATACTTAATTGATCGTTTAAATCTTACGATTCAGCCTAAACAGCTATTACTCTAAGAGAGTGTGCAGTAGTAATGTAACCGCTTTTCACGCAACCTACATGTCTCATTTCCATGGAACGGATGTCGACTCTACAGATCATAGTTAGAATGACCTCGAGAACCAGCGAAACACCATGCGGAGGCGGCAGAAGTGCGACTAACTCGCGATTGAGCCACGGAATTAACCTGAAGAGTAAATCCAGTGAAGGGTGTTAGGTTGGGGAAATGAGAACTGCTTAATATGCTAATATATATAAAACATGAGCAGAATAAGAAGCTGACTTGCTTTTCGTCGCAGAACTCGTCATGTGCATGACTTAAAACATAAGGCCCCACAAGTATCAATTATAGCTCTATCTTTGCCGTTGGTAACCCACCCTTAGTAGCTCGCAAACTTCTCGTTTATCTTACGACCAGTCCCATATAGCGTTTCTTTTTACAAATTGCCTTTAGTTTCAAAACAAGCTAATGCAACCGGATAATAATATGGAATCCAATACTCTAAGGCGATGTTGCTTGTTGTTAATGTAACTATTGTTTGTAGTCACCTGTGCGTTTGCGCTGGGTTATTGTCGTAGAACTCGGCGCTAACTTCCCTATAACGAGAGTAGCCATTTGGCCGAGCGTAATACCCCATCTCGTATATACTGCGACGCTCAGCTGAGGTAGAGGGAAACGGCGTCTGCGACAAAAAGCAGTTGATTAGGCAAAATATGTCTTCCATAAGACATAATCATCATAATGAGCATTTATTCAGTGCTAACTTGGGTAATCAGGTGCGTCGGCTGACACTAACTATTGGCTAATTACCGTCGCTGTACATCTTCATACAGCAAAAATCCATATCTAAATAGAAAAACAAATACATTTTTGAAACACACGAATTCTGTTAAAAGAGGAGGTATTGCTGCTCGACTTGAAGACCGGACCAGTCAGCCAAACATCTAGCTTTAATGAAAACGATCTAGCCACGTTGTGATTAACAAAATATCCCAACTCACCTGCGCTATACCTCGAACAGGAGCAGCTCCGGCTCCAGGTGGAACGCGGAGATGCTGGAAGATATGATACTGCTCGAATTCATAGTTCTCTTTAATGTTGTGCACAATCGTGCGAAACGGTTTTTGGCACAACGGACAAGTCGCCTTCACCTGAAGTCACCATAAAACATGTAGCAACGGTAAGACTAACGTGTAAAGTATTTAAAGTGAGGAACGCTGTCGAATAAAAGATTTCATAAATATGCGTCGATGATGCTCACAATCCATAATGTAAAAACTTTGTTAACTGATTTTATCAAAATCGCTACATGTTCTATAGTATAAAGACAGCGGTAATTATTTTCTCATCAAATTACCATGGTTAAGATTGACCACTGACTTATTTGCCCGCAGTATACTGTATGTAGAAATATTTGCGAATTATGTATCATAGCACTGATTTACATATGCTCTACGGAGTATGAATCGAGGGAAATGTGAAATCTTTTCTCGGTCAAACTTGTTTTGGTACGGTACATGTATGTTATGTGTGCTGGATTTATCGTTATTATACATTTACGGTTTGTAGGGACTTTTAAAATATTGTGGGTCTTTTACCACAAAAATATGCCAATTATTTCATGACACAAGATCTTATAGACAGTACCCACAGCCTCTGAACTTTGCTTGCAGAAATCCAGCTCTTTTATTTGATTTTTCAAGCTTTACTGTAAGCGTATATTCTCACGTTATTGAAACTTCTATGAGTCCATTTCCTCGTGTACGGAGTCTGAGTATAAACAATCCGATTGGTTTTCATTTATTAAAAGTTCTCTCCTCAGTGAAATAACTCAGTTCATGCTTGTCTTTTCGCGATACTAAGCTTTTTATTGCATGAAAACAAATAACCAAACCTTACGAAAAAGGTAAACGGCTAGAGAGGCACCCATAAGTATTCATGGAATAGACCCTCTCAGCTGTGCGAGCTGTGGTCACATTACGCTGTATCATGCGGTACTATAACTTAGATGCTAAACGAGGCAGATGGTTGAATTCAGAATCTCACAGTAAAACACTTCTGCAAACAATATAAATAGAACGATTTAATTACTTACTGGATAACAATTAGAATAGCTTTATGCGAGAAGTCGATTGATTCCAATTTGTTGGTCAAATAGTGCTTTTCGAAACTATGCCAATAATAGACCAAAGACGCTATTATTTTTTAGATATACAATAGGGCAGTTCATTGAGTTGTCTGCAAATACATTAAAATTGAACACCCAGTTTTCTAGCTTATTTTTGGTGCATTTAAGAAGCTCAGCTGGGCTACGTCCAGAACATATGCATACTGAATATAGTATGTCGCTTGTAATCTAAAGTAAACAACAAGTGATAGCGACAAAAAAATAAAAGGAAAATCCTCACACCTAAGGTTTTCATGATCGATGGCGTCGCGGTTACAGCTAGCGCAGGACCTGCTTCGAATATACACAATCAGTTAGTTCTATTTAGCAATGAATTGAAGTTGTCGCAGAAATACTTTCAGTTTTGAGCAATAGCCTCGATCTTGTACCATATTTCAATACCACGAGGTAAGCCGCCTTCACCGACTTCGATACCCAAACGGTTGCGTCTTAGGTGAAGACACACATGTGCAAAATCGAAAAGAAAACTGGTATTAAATAATTTATACTGCTCAAAAGCTGCTTACCATTCTAGAAAGCGAACAAATCCTTTCGTCGGGTGGTGTGGAGTAAACAGACCGTCTAGCATCCTTGTCGAGGAGAAATCGCAATACACAAACCGATAGTATTTGTATAAACGCACGACTGCTGTTTCAATTCACATCCAACGCATGAGCATCGCTTGCACGAAATTGCCTATTAGAAGATATCTTGGATATTATACACCGTTTTGTCGTTTCATAAAAAAAACTTTGCACAGAAAACTGTTGCCTTACAGCGTCCGATGTTGTATGCTTCTGTATTCCACTTGTCGGCTTGTAATATATATATATA